ATCCTGAGAAAATCCTGAGAAAATCCCAAAAACCCCAATCCAATGGAAATCAATCCCAAAAACTCCCAAAAGACCCAGGGAGGATCAGCACGGAGCCGTCGCTCAGCCCTGAGGAGGATAAAACCACTGAATTCCATGAAAAACCACGGAAAAACCCGACCAAAATCCCTCAGCATTCCCAAAACCTTCACCACCGCCCACAACAAACAAATCTTACCCTCGCCACCTCCCAAAAATAAAATCAAACCCAAAAAAAAACCCCAAAATCCCGCCAAAACCGCGCCGCCATTTTGTCCTCCGCCTCCCGAGCCGCGTCGGGCGGGGAAAAAACGCCCCAAATCCGGGGATTTTTTCCCCAAAATTTTTCCGGGATGAGATTCCCGAGGGGAAAAGGGGGCGGTACCTTCCTGGAAGAGCTGCTTGGCGTAGGAGGGCTCGCGGCCCTGGGGCTGGAAGAAGGCGTAGATGCATTTCCGCACCAAATCCTCCCAGCCCGTGCGGCCGGCGGCGCGCAGCGAGCTGGTGTCGATGGAGATGATTTTTCCTGGGAAAACGGAGTGGAAAAAAAGGAATTTTCAGGGTTTTTTTTTTCGGGAGTTTCATCCCGAAGCGTTCCGGCGTTCTCCGGATGGAGGGCGGGTCGAAATGCGGCGGCAAGAGGGGATTTTGTGGGGTTTGGGGGTGGGAATGCAAAGGGAGATCCCCAAAATTCTTTGGGAATTCCCAAGATTCCTTCCCAAAGGGGAGCTGGGATGGGGATGGAGCCAATGTCAGGCTGGGAATAGAGAAAAATCCCTGGGAAAGGGGAGGGATTTGGGAAGGAATTCCCAGTTGGAAAACACTGTGGGGTTGGATTGGGATGGGATTGAAGCTCCGGGGGTCCCATCCCAAACCATTCCGGGATTTTGGGATCCAGGATGCTCAGGATCCATCCCGAGGGAGTTTTGTGGAATTTGGGATTGGAACGGGATGGGATTGAAGCTCTGGGGATCCCATCCCAAACCATTCCGGGATTTTGGGATCCAGGACACTCAGGATCCGTCCCGAGGGAGTTTTGTGGAATTTGGGATTGAAGCTCCAAGGATCCCATCCCAAACCATTCCGGGATTTTGGGATCCAGGACGCTCAGGATCCATCCCAAGGGAGTTTTGTGGAATTTGGGATTGAAGCTCCAAGGATCCCATCCCAAACCATTCCGGGATTTTGGGATCCAGGATACTCAGGATCCATCCCGAGGGAGTTTTGTGGGATTTGGGGGTGGGAAAGCAAAGGGAGATCCCCAGAAATTCCCAGGGAATTCCTAAAATTCCTTCCCAGAAAAGAGTCGGGATGGGGATGGATCCAGTCCCAGGCTGGGAATGGAAAAAATTCCCTGGGAAAGGGGAGGAATTTGGGAAGGAATTCCCAGCCAGGCTGGAATTCCCAGCGAATCCCTGGGAGTGTCCAAGGAAAGGTTGGATCCACCTGGAATTTGGGATTGGAACGGGATGGGATTGAAGATCCGGGGATCCCATCCCAAACCATTCCGGGATTTTGGGATCCAGGACGCTCAGGATCCGTCCCGAGGGAGTTTTGTGGAATTTGGGATTGGAATGGGATGGGATTGAAGCTCCGGGGATCCCATCCCAAACCATTCCGGGATTTTGGGATCAGGATGCTCAGGATCCGTCCCGAGGGATTTTTGTGGGATCTGGGGGTGGGAAAGGGAAGGAATTCCCGGGAATGTTTGGGATGCACCTGTGGTGTCCTGCTTGGTGACGAAGGACTCGGCCGGGGCCGGGGCCGGGCGCGGCAGCCTCCGGGCGATGCAGATCAGGCAGGACTGGAAATCTGGGAAAAACACCGGGAAAAACACCGGGAATGCCGGAACCGCCCCGCCTTCCCCTCCAGATCCCGCTCCCGGATTGAATCCCCTGAAATTCCCTGGAATTCCCTGGGAAAAGCTTGGAGGGATTAACTGGGGAGGGTCCTGGGATGTGGCGGATTTGGGATAACGGAATTCCGGGTTGGAGCGGGGGATTGTTGGGATTTGGTCCTAAAGGGTCGGGATTTGGCCCTTCCGGGTGGGAATTGGGGGATTCACCCCGGGAATGAGGTGGGAAAAACGGATGGGACAGGGAAAAGGGACTCGGAGCTGATCCCAATCCCAATCCCAATCCCAATCCCAATCCCAATCCCAATCCCATCTCAATCCAACTTCTCTTCATCCAATCCCAATCCCAATCCCAATCCCAATCCCAANTCCAACTTCTCTTCATCCAATCCCAATCCCAATCCCAATCCCAATCCCAATCCCATCTCAATCCAACTTCTCTTCATCCAATCCCAATCCCAATCGCAATCCCAATCCCAATCCCAATCCCAATCCCATCCCAATCCCATCTCAATCCAACTTCTCTTCCATCCAATCCCAATCCCAATCCCAACCCCAACCCCAACCTCAATCTCAAATCCAAATCCAAATCCCAATCCAAATCCCAATCTAAATTCTCTTCCAATCCCAATCCCAATCCCAATCCTAATCCCAATCACATCTCAATCCAACTTCTCTTCCATCCAATCCCAATCCCAATCCCAATCCCAATCCCAATCCAAATCCAAATCCAAATCCCAATCCCATCTCAATCCAAATTCTCTTCCATCCAATCCCAATCCCAATCCCAATCACATCTCAATCCAACTTCTCTTCCATCCAATCCCAATCCCAATCCCAATCCAAATCCCAATCCCAATCCCAATCCCAATCCCATCTCAATCCAACTTCTCTTCATCCAATCCCAATTCCAATCCAAACCCCAATCCCATCCTATCCCATCCTGATCCTGCACTGCATTCCGAACCCCATCCCATCCTGTGCCAATCCAATCCCAATCCCAATCCCAATCCCAATCCCAATCCCAATCCCATCTCAATCCAAATTCTCTTCCATCCAATCCAAATCCCAGTCCAAATCCCAATCCCATCCTATCCCATCCCAATCCTGCACTGCATTCCCAAACCCCATTCCATCCAATCCCAATCCCAATCCCACGCCAATCCCATCCCAACCTTATCCCACTCCATCCCAATCCCATCCCAATCCAAATTCTCTTCCATCCATTCCCAACCCCAACCCCAAATCCAAATGCAAATTCAAATCCCAATTGAAATCCCAATCCCAATCCCAATCCCAATCCCAATCCCAATCCCAATCCAAATTCTCCCCCATCCAACTGAAACCCCAACCCCAATTCCAAATCCAAATCCCAATCCAAATCCAAATTCTCTTCCATCCAACCCCAATCCCAACTCTAACGCCAATTCCAATTCCAAATCCAAATCTAAATCCCAATCCAAATTCTCTTCCATCCAGCCCCAATCCCAACCCCAATCCCAAATCAAATTCTCTTCCATCCAACCCCTACCCCTACCCCAACCCCAAATCCAAACCCAATTCTCTTCCATCCAACCCCAAATCCAACCCCAAATCCAACCCCAAATCCAAATTCCCTTCCATCCAACCCCAACCCCAACCCCAACCCCAACCCCAATCCCAATCCAATTTCTCCTCCATCCAATCCCAATCCCAATCCCAATCCCCATCCCAATCCCAACCCCAATCCCAAGTCAAATTATCTTCCATCCAACCCCAACCCCAAATCCAAATCTAAATTCTCTTCCATCCAATCCCAGTCCCAATCCCAATCCCAACCACAACCCCAATCCCAAGTCAAATTCTCTTCCATCCAACCCCAACCCCAACCCCAAATCCAAATCTAAATTCTCTTCCATCCAAGACCAATCCCAATCCCAATCCCAATCCCAATCCCAACCCCAATCCCAAGTCAAATTATCTTCCATCCAACCCCAAATCCAAATTCTCTTCCACCCAAGCCCAAGCCCAAGCCCAAGCCCAAGCCCAATCCAACTTCTCCTCCATCCAATCCCAATCCCAATCCCCATCCCAATCCCAACCCCAATCCCAAGTCAAATTATCTTCCATCCAACCCCAACCCCAAATCCAAATCCAAATTATCTTCCATCCAATCCCAATCCCAATCCCAATCCCCATCCCAATCCCAACCCCAATCCCAACCCAAATTCTCTTCCATCCAACCCCAACCCCAAATCCAAATCTAAATTCTCTTCCATCCATGACCAATCCCAATCCCATCCCCAATCCCAAGTCAAATTATCTTCCATCCAACCCCAAATCCAAATTCTCTTCCACCCAAGCCCAAGCCCAAGCCCAAGCCCAAGCCCAACCCCAATCCAAATTCCCTTCCATCCATCCCCGCTCCCGATCCCGCTGCTCCCGCTGCTCCCGGCGCGGCGCCGCACCCTCCCCCTCCTCCTGGAAGGCGCGGGGCTGGCTGACGGCGAAGCACTGCATGGGCTCGTAGCGCTGCCGCGCCTCCGCCGGCGCCGCGCCCGCCTCCGGCGCCGCCCGCACCAGCATCCGGCACTGGAAGGTGCGGCTGCCGCGCCGCGCCGGCTCCGGCGGCCACGGCACGCCGTTCACTGGGAAAAACACAGAAAAACGGGAATTAGGGATGGGGAATTCCCAAAAATCCCCGGGATTTGGGGTTCCGCACCGGCATCCGGCACCGGAAGTTGCTCAATGGGAAACATGGGGAAAAAATGGGAATTAGGGACGTGGAATTCCCAAAAATCCCCGGGATTTGGGGTTCCGCCCCGGCATCCGGCACTGGAAGGTGCGGCTGCCGCGCCGCGCCGGCTCTGGCGGCCACGGCACGCCGTTCACTGGGGAAAACCCAGAAAAACGGGAATTAGGGACGTGGGAGTGATCCCAAATCATGGAATTCCCAAAAATCCCCGGGATTTGGGGTTCCACACCAGCATCCGGCACTGGAAGGTGTGGCTGCCGCGCCGCACTGGCTCTGGCGGCCACGGCACGCCATTCACTGGGGAAAACACGGAAAAACGGGAATTAGGGATGGGGAATTCCCAAAAAACCCCAGGATTTGGGGTTCCGCACCGGCATCCGGCACTGGAAGGTGTCACTGGGAAAAATGGGATAAAAATGGTAGTTTGGGATGGGGAATTCCCAAAAAT